GTATCGTGATGTTTAATATTATACAAAATGCAATAGATTACACAAATATATCTTTGTTTATCTGTATTTTATTATTCTTTGTTTTGCACTGTTATATGTGATAATATTTACTGTATAATATTTACTGTGATGTCGTTTCTTAAAAGTTTCAAGTCGATATGTGCTTATGCAAAACAAAACAAATATTATTTTTTTATTTTTGTGTTAAAAAGAAATATTAAATATTAGGTTTTTAATATGTATTTACACATTTCTTAAAATTTTTAATGGAATGAATTAATTATTTTTAAATTAAAAGTAATGCATAGATTTTGCTGTGAATTACTATATTGTATGTATTTGAAACTCGAATCGAATTAAACTATATTTAATATTTAAGGACAGTGTATTGTATTCAATCTTCGATAACTTTACACTTTGATTTCTCATTATTTGAAGTGTCTTGCTCCTTACCAACTGGACACACGATTTGGGCTGGCCGAATAACATGATGAGTATGGAAAAAATGGCTATTTTAATGCCTATAGAGCGGAAAGAATTAGACTATCCCGCACCTTTAGCAACCGACCCTATTGTTTTCTTGTTTAAAAAATTGTAAAATTAAAAATGGCACTTTATATATCAGAAAAAATAAGAAAGTTAAAAGAAGTTTTTACAATTAAAATTTACCATTACAATATCCTACATGAATACATGAAAAAGCTGCTTAGCTATAGAAATAATAATATGTTTAATTAAAGAATAATATTAATTTCTGTAACCTATTAAAGGCCGTTTGAGAAATTCATTAGCCTATGGTTCGCAACTTCACATACAAGACGAAGGGCCAATTTTTTCATTATTTTTCTGACGAAATTTGTATCTTATCTCCTTCTTCTTCTTATCCGTTTGGTCGTATCACACTCTCGGCCACTCTATGGATCAAAACTCTCCATGCCTGTCTATCCTGCGCAGCCTCCTTCAATTCCGTTATAGATAATTCAGTGTCACTTTTGAATGTGTCGAGTCACAGAGTCCTTGGTCGGCCTCGCGCTCTTTTCCCGCTAACCATCCCCAGCATGATCGCCTTCTCAAAGGAGCTGGTTTTCATTATATGGCAAAAAAAAGGACAGTTTCTGTTCGGTTATCTGAGCTTCTAGTGAGATTTTCGGTTGGACTCTGTCTAAGACAGTTTTGTTGGTGATCCGCGCTGTCCATGGAATGCTCAAAAGACCACAGTTCGAAAGCATCTATCTTCCTTCTGTCCGTTTTCTTTAGATTCCAAGTTTCACATCCGACAATAGGAAATATAATCGCGCTAATTAATCTGCATTTAATTTGGAGGCAGATGTTTTTGCTCTTCCAAAAGCTGTTCATGCTGACAACCGAGTTCGTCTAAGGGCTATGCGTCTTCTGATTTCAAGACTGAAATCTTCATTACGGTTGATTTTGGGCCCGAGGAATATGAAATCTTCCACTACCTCGATTTCTTCGCTGTTGAGTCATTATTTTGACTTCCGTATTCCACGCAGTAGTCATTAATTTGTTTTCTTGAAGTTAAGAAACACTTTTAAGCCCTACCTTTGCACTTTCATGCTTGACTGTCAGAAGCAGCTGCTCAAGATCTTCCTGACTTTCCGTGAGCAGCGTGGTATCATCCGCATATCGGAGATTATTGATGTTCCATCAATAATCTCCGATATGCTCCGATATGCTCCGATAATCTCCTGCCTCTAATTTTCACTCCAATGTTAAACTCATTCAAATCTGCTTTCCTCATCGCCACCTCTGCATACAGATTGAATAGTGATGGTGAAAGGATACATTCCTGGCAGGTAACCCTTTTGATCTTCAACCAGTCTGTATCACTACATGGCGTTCTTACAGTGACTTCTTGTCCAGTATATAACGATCGTATGAGCTTGGCGAGGTGCGGTGAGATTCCCATTTCCTTGAGGCACTTCCACAATTTGTCATGATCAATACAAGCGAAAGTCTTTGCGTAATCAATGAAGCACATGTATAGATCTTTTTGGTATTCCCTCGCTGTTTCCATCATCCAACGAAGATTAGTGATTAGTGTTGCAACGAATAGTATATTCGGCCTCAGGCCGAATACCTAATATTCGGACAGGAGCGTGGCCGAATAGCCAAATATTCGGCCAAACTATTCGGCTTGATTAACGCACGTACGAAAATTGGCTCGCAAACCACATTATGGCAAGGATCCCGCTCTCTATTGGCCCGCTGTCACTACGCTTCGCCAATCGCGTTAATTCTTGACAGTTGTAGCGGACAGACAAGAGCGTCATGGCAGTATATGATAAATGATGATATCAAATGTGGATAACAACGAAATGACCTAAACATGTAAATAACGGAAAAAGAACAGAGAAGGACAGCGAAGTGAAAATGTGAAAATAAATAGGAAATTGAGTTGATAACATAATCGAACAAGTCGAGGCAGCTTATTGGCGCAAAATTCGCAGCCGTCAATGCCAAACAATTGTTGTCATAGACTTCAGAAAGTTAATGCTTGTAATGAAAGTCAATTAGCGTGCACGGGCGAAAGCATGGGGCCGTTCGGGCTACCAAACTGTCTGGAATTTGTGAATTCATAACTGTGACTTATACCGACGTCCTATCTGTCTCTTTTCTTCGTTATCAACAAGCTATGAGTCACGTAATTGTAAAATGGGAAATCTATGACGGAAAAAATGACGAATCGAAAGTATTGTGAGCGGGGTATTATGATGCATGAATAGGCATACGCGGACTAGAGAGATAGAGGAAAGAGAAAGGGAAGAGAAAAGACGAGCGCTTAAAAAGAAGGATAGGCAGGGTCAGACCCTCAGATGTGCGACGATTCTCGAATGAATTGGTGTGTATTTGTGCTGATCTTTGTAATTATAAATTGTGAATACATGTGACTAATATTATTTTCTTTTTTATTTTGTGCATGTTATAAGTTATAAATAAATATAAACAAACAACACTAGCCCGGTAACATTAAATCTAAATACCAAAATGATTAATTTACTGTGTTTTTTTTATTTCTTACTTCCGTTTTTTAGGTATTCGGTATTCGGCCGAATAGCGAAAAATAGGCCGAATAGGCCGAATACCGAATAGTAACCGAATATTCGTTACATCATTATTAGTGACATGGTCACGTGTTCCTCTTCCTTCTCGGAAACCTGCCTGTACAGTATATCTGGCATCTCTCTGTCTATGGTTGAGTACATACGCTGTTGAATGATCTTCAGTAGAATCTTACTAGCGTGTGAAATCAGAGCGATGATGCGATAGTTGGAGCGATCTTCGTATCGCTATCGCCTTTCTTTGGTATGGGGATAAAAATAGATCTTTTCCAATCCTTTGGCTATTGGCCATTCTTCCACGCACAACGGCACAGTGCTGTCAAAACTTTTAATGGTAAGAGTTTCAGTAACTCTGTTGGTATTCCATCGACTCCTAGGGCCTTGTGGCTAGTGGCTAGCCAGCTGTTTGAGTGCCCATGCCACTTCTTCTTCTAAGATGTGTGGCTCCAGCTCTGTCAGTTCTTCCTCTTCAATACCTTGGGTATCAACTTCCGTTTTACTGGCGTAAAGATGTTCTGTGTATTCCTTTATCTTTCTTTGATTGCATGTTGATCATGTAATTCATGACCATCTTGACCATTGACAGCTGCCTTACATGCGATAAATTGTGTTCGGATTTTTGCTTCGCATAAGCGAAGCATTGTCTAATGAGGCCTTTCTGAGCTGCTGCTTCCATTTTCTTGCACTGTTCTTACATCTTATAGTCTATGCAATAAAGTACAATAAATATAGGGATTAGTAACTAAATATCATACTCAGCTCTTTAAAATACTTAATGAATCATCAAACACCTGATGCTGAGAAATGTTTATTAAACAAACATTAACGTTTTCGACCCAATATGATAGGCCATCTTCAGATGCAACCGAAATTCAAACTTATTTTAACTTAACATTTAAACGACAGAACGTTCGAACACCTTTACATTTAAATTTGAAACAAAATACTAGATAAATTAACAACTAAATAATAAAATAAAACAAAATATACTAAATGAACTAATACAATAACGATGTAAATAATATAATAAAATAAAAAATAAAATATGTAAAATAAAATAAAAATAAAAATGAAATAAATACACAAAATATGCCTCTAAGTATAAGGGCATGTGCGGGCTAAATCACCCAATTCATCGATTTAGCTGTTAAATCTTAATAACTTGTTTATTTATCCAGAATTGAAAAACTTTCAAAATGTAAAAATATTAATAAATATGTATGTCGGACGGCTGAGTGGTTAAAATGACAACCTACCGCGTTGGGGTTCGGAATCGAATCTGGACGAGTCAAAGAATCCAAGAAGACAGTCCGTCCGGATATATCGGGCCTCGTCCTTCATAATATTGTGGGCTTGGAATCCAGTGCCGTAACTAGGCAGGTGCCCGCACAGGATCCACTTGAAAGGGGGCCCAAAATGCATGTATTTGTTTCATTATTTTCCCAAACCTAATTAATTAAAGGGCCTAAATGCAAATTCTTGCTCGGGGCACAGAAATGGCTAGTTACGGCACTGTTGGAATCCATAATAGACTTGCTAAAAAGACCGTCTTAATTCCCACATAGAGGAAAGAGTTTAAATATATATTACATATGCCACAAAAGACCATGTAAATTCTTTTAAGAAAATGATTTAAAAAATGTCAGCTTTGATTATAAAACAAATGTATTATTAAAAAAATATTAATCATTTTCTTTAGAAAATAAGCAAATATATTATTAAAAAAATATTAATCTTTTTCTTTAGAAAATAAACAAATCAAATATTTTATAAATGTTATAACCTCTATTTATCGTGCACCTAAATAGCTAGCATATTCATTGTAAAAACCCATCCGTGGTTCCACATCATCAATAGAAATATTCGAGAGATGTATTTTCCTTTCTAATTATTATTAACTCCGATTTAAATCATTAGAGGGCGCTTAGGAGAATTCATTGAATTTTCGTGACAAAGCTGTCTGTTCAAGTTTTCTGTATATAATGTAAGTATTATGGTTTGTGTGCTTCTTTCTTTACATTGATATTTTACAAAACAGAAACTGCAGTCAATCAAAAAACATATGTATAAACACGACAGATAAAAAGCAATATTGGTTTTAACCTAATCAATTGATTATATCGTCGCTTCTCTTTGACACAATTTCCCTCCAACCTTCATTTAAAAACCGATTAAAAAGAAATATGTGAAAAAGTCTCTTTCTTTCCGCTGTTATTGGCTGTATGATTCAAGTGCGATTTCATATTTTTATTTATAGCTGTCTAAAGAAGTCTTTTGATTAACATTCAAAATGTTTATTATATTGATCATTTTTTTTCAGAAAATCTCGTTATATTGTAACGTTGTTTTAGTCACATTCCCGTGTTTTAGTTTTGGTCTTTACATACGTGTTGTTTTAGATTTAATACTAAAACTACGCTAATTTATTGTTAATTATATGCCACATTTTGGTATTCAGCAAGTTGATGAATATTTATATTTCTTTATCAAAAACTTAGACAATTATTTCAGTTTTAATCTGTTGATTTATCTATATATCATAAGGTAATAAATTAAATATTGGTTCGTATTAATATAAATAATTATCTCAAGATATAAATATATATGAAATAATACAGTAAATTTAATCTTTGAATAGTTACTTATGTATTGTATAATGGCAAAAACGTCTCGAGTATGGTTACTCCCAAAATCAATTGGCAGATGACGATGATTACTAAATCGATTAATTTTGTAGGATACTAAAAGTCAACGGGAATCATATTGGAAGATAAAGTTTATATTTTCTCGATGCTCGTCTTGTTGGAATGGCTGATTATTAAATGTATAGACTGTGTGTCCCCCAATTTGGTAAATTCTAGGCCCGAGCTATGTTCTATATGACTTATTTTTTGCTAAAATAAAAATTTCAATAAAACTTAAATTATTTTTTTCTTTGCTTGCCTAATTTGCCATTCTTTCCTTCATTTTTTTTATGCACCAGGCCTCTTCTTATTGCTATAGAGGTGTAGGAGTGTTTTGTGCATTTTCTGTTTAGAAAGACCAAAACATCAACCATAACTATTGTGTGAGGAATGTCTTATTTTACAATTCATTAGACTAATTCCTTCTAACATGTCTAGTGCTCACCATGAAACAAGTCATTGGGAGTCTTTTTCCTTTCCACTTTTCCAAAAACTCTGGTAATGGTGTTGCCTAAAAACTGAATATGCATAAAGGCCATTTACATGATACACTACTGCCAACATTATTCCATTCAAAAACACAATAAGAATGGATTTGCCTCATTTGAAGAAACTCAATTTGTTGACAGCCTTGGTTCGAGAAGTTGCAATGATGTTGCAAAAACTTAAAAATGGGTTCACATATTTGCTTGCCAGACTGATCAGACTGATACTAGATCACATTTCCATAGTAATCTTTATCAGTTGTCCAACTAATTAGCTAACTTCATTCACAGAGTCCCAAAAAAACCTTAATCTGTCACTGCTCATTGGCCTTTCATTACATGTAAGAAATTTAAAAACAACAATAATAGCAATATTAAATGAGAATAATGGAAGATACTATATACTGAAAGAATACAAAAGAGTATATATTATTATTATTATTGTCATCATCATCTGAAAATATAATTTTAATTCCAATTGTTAGTATTTTAGCTTAAAACATTTTTAGTTTTCTTAGAATATAAATGTATCAACTACAGTTTGTTATAAATGTTTAAAATAGTAATGACTTAAGTAGTTACAGCAGAAATAAGTAAAAATATGTTACTAAATAAAAATGAATAAATTTGATATAAAATTTTAATATAAAACTTTTAGATATATAATAGATATAATTAAGTCTTAAAGTATAATTACTAATCACACTAGTTTAAAATTTAGAAATTTTATCAAAAGATCTATTTCTCACTCTTCTATATCTTCTGCACTTTATACTTTCAATTTCTTTTGTATCTTCTACACATTTCTACATCTTCTACACATCTAACACATATTTATCATATGGAATTTTTCAACATGCCTTACTGTGGATTTATTTATATTGTATGTGTGCAATCAAACAAATTGAATACTGAATACCAGTGGCATGCTGTGACATTTGATGATAGGGAAGCTGTGTTTCTATAAGAAGCCGACTTCCAGGGGCAATCAGTCAGTGATAGTCTAGGGTCCATTCACATTCGTTTATTCGATAAGTAAAAACCATAGACTTCTCTAAATGTATTTTTAATAGATTATCTGACGTATTTAATAAATAAACAAGTTCAATATAATTGCATCTGTTATTAGATTCAATAGATTCCCTATTACATTCCACTATACCTTTAAAATGCAGTCTACTTTTGGCTAGTTCTCTAACGTTTTCGGTCTAATTCATAGACCTTCTTCAGGATTGATGTAAAAAATTTTAAAAATTTGAACTTTCCCAACGGTAATTCGAACAACGCACGTTCTATAATCTTCAGATATTCGATCGCGCATGTCCATTAGCTCTTTATAATGCCGCCGCTCTCCATGCCGATGCTATTCTACTTGACTCTCGAAAATTTATATTTAGCCCCTTTTTTCTGTATTTATAAATGTGCCATGCCTCTGCATACTTTAGATGTCGTANTAATATACGACATCTAAAGTATGCAGAGGCATGGCACATTTATAAATACAGAAAAAAGGGGCTAAATATAAATTTTCGAGAGTCAAGTAGAATAGCATCGGCATGGAGAGCGGCGGCATTATAAAGAGCTAATGGACATGCGCGATCGAATATCTGAAGATTATAGAACGTGCGTTGTTCGAATTACCGTTGGGAAAGTTCAAATTTTTAAAATTTTTTACATCAATCCTGAAGAAGGTCTATGAATTAGACCGAAAACGTTAGAGAACTAGCCAAAAGTAGACTGCATTTTAAAGGTATAGTGGAATGTAGTAATTAATAATGCAGTTAGAGATTTAATAATAGATTCCCTATGCCCTCTAAATGCGAATTCTTGTTTCGATAAAAAAAAATATAACATCTATTAATCTAAATATAATATATCTATTAGCCGTAACTATCTTGTTATAGTTTTCAATATTTATTTTATATTATTTACTAATGTTAATAGATTGTCTGTCATTTGTTTTCTAACTAATTCATTTTACAACCAGGTGGTGTCCACGGAAATTTCCAAAATTTACAACTTTTCAGTCACTCTCATTGAACTGGAAAAATTTCTGTCTTTATTACTTCTAATATGACAAGGAAATCAGTCCCCACTGTACTCGGCTAGGAATTGGTTCAGTTAAGCTTTTAAGTAAAATTCCGGCTCTTTCATCAGGGTTTTATTTATGTCCCCAATTCTATAATTGCTTAATTATTTAACTACTTCTTAAGTAGAAATATGTCGAAACTGGTTACTTTGTACTTGAATATTTGTAGTCTTGGGAAAAAAGTGGAAAGACAAATTTTTATGACAACGGATACATAAATCGTAAATTTAAGGAAAATAAATTCTAGAGCTTTTTTTTTTTTTGGTACCTCATGCATCTCATTCATTAAATTTACTTGTAAATGATGCTGCCAAAGTAAGTTAATTTTTTAACATTGTACAAGAATTGTACGTGTTTTTTTCTGTATCCCGTTATAGATGAGACATATTAAATCGTAATATCACTAGTTTAACATTTAAATCTGTAAATAATACAAGATGGGAGAGCATGATAAATATATCAAATATTTTAATGGATTTTTTTAACTTCTGTCAACTATACAGAACTATCATAAAAACATATCAGTAAATTCCTATTGGTTGGGTAAGTTATAAATCTACTCTCGATTCACGTAATGGGGTGAGGGCAGCCCACGTAATCTATCTAGCAGGCAGGCAGTTAATGGCCCAGAACCGGTCCTGGATAGAATCATTGGAAGCTTTTGGTGTGTAGCTTCCACCCACTAAACCGTCTGAGGTTGGTGCTCTGTAAACTACATGTGCAAATGCCTATAATCTGGCTGCTTTACACCATTCAGATATTTTCTCCATGGAAGCTGTCCCATATTCAACAATACAGAGCTTCCATTGGGAATATGCATATACAAATTTATATTCAAATATATAATAGCACTCTTATTGTTTTTTTCACATGTAGTATAGAAATTTGTAATAAGATACATAATGCGGTTATAATAAAATATTAATTAATTTTAATTAATCCAAAATACGTTAAAATATATTTATTTTTTAGAAAATACAAGGGAAGCGGCACTTCCACCGCTTCCAAAGATGGCACACCACTGCTGAATACTGAAAACAGATAACACAAAATGTTTTGTGAAATTGCCTATTTAAACTCTAATTTATGACAAAACTACTTTGTTATTCCTTATTGCTTATCACTGAAGTTGGAATAGATTTTAAAGTAAGTTTTCAGAAAGCAGATTCCATATTCAATAACAAGTCAATGAATATGAAAAATATATGGCAAATACAAAAATTTGCTCATAACTGAAAAAATACAACTGTCATAAAAATGTACCACAACAAAATAGTTATTACCTATAAGAAATAAAAAGATTACATTATAGTTAATGTTTATTTTTTATAAGGAAATATTAGAAATACTTAAAGAATATCCATAGTTAAAAAATTGTAAGGCTATTCTTTAAATACTTCTAGTATCTCCTTACAGTTAATTGATATCTAACGGTTTGATAATATTAAAAATTTGCTTATCTAATGTCACATTCTAATTTTTATAAAGCATTTCAATGATCTGGACAACATTTATAAAAAAAATAAGAAAGTAATTCACTTAAGATTTATGAGAAATTTATGTTAAATTTAACATCAATTAACACCTAGATGTCAATTTTGAAATATACTAGATCTAATGTTTATTATTCTTCCATTTGAAAATATTTATATTCCAATGTTTTGCATTCTAATTATAAAAATCCTGATGCAGATCCTAAGGGGATCGAAAATGTTTGTGGTAATGTATCTAAAATTAAATTATTTTTGATGGTGTAATTTAAAGGTTTTAGGTGGTTATTCCATAATCTAATCATTATCTATCCATTTTTATTGTTTTAAAACTGTTTAAATTAAGCAATGAAAATGCAATGGCCCTATTGCATAAAGTGCTTGTAGTTGTTACAAGCTTTACAAGTTTCAAATTACAAGCAAAATACAGTAGACCCCCCCTATAACACTTAGATATGTTCCACGTTAATCAAATTTTACGTTGTAGTAATGATTAAATACATGAGCCAATCGCAGCCCGATAGGTGGGAAGTTTACGGACTAAGGCTGTTTGAAAGGTTTTCTTCTATAAAATTAACCAATTCTAGACTAATTCCACTCAACATTTCCAAAACACACATAATTTTTTGGGAATAATCTGTATAAACTATGCTATAAACAAAAAATTATAGGATTACTTATCGAGTGTGTACCGTTCTACTACACCATTGCTCAAAGCTAGTTTTCGTCGCGGAACAGCACACGAAACGACGCCCGCGATTTCTGATAACGAATTTTTCGCAGAAAAATAACTTGACCTTTGGAGACATCATTAATATAAATAATTTTTATGGCCGTTGAATAAGAAGTGTTTCTTTCACAAGAAATGTATAAAATTAGTGCTGTATTAGACTTACGGTACCTAATTTACATACTGTACATACGATAATAAACTCAACTTACTAGCCTAAAATCTCCGTAGCGTGGCGCCACGCTAGACGGCGGAAATTATATATTTAATTATAATAAAGTTAGAATAAGTTATTATATAATTATATATATAGTACCTAATTTATATATAATTATATGTACAGTACCTAATTTATATATAATTTATATATAATACTGTACAGACGATAGCAAACTCAATTTAGCTGCTCCATAGCGTGGCGCAGGGCGGAGGAAAGTAGTTTGGCTGCTCATCTACTATTGGTCCAGATTCTATCAATCTTGTCGCGAAACGAGTCAGCAACGACGTTTTAGGAGCTCCTTTAAACGAATGTTGCTGCAATTTTTTCGCTACGTTATAGGAATTGTCGTTATAGGAACGCACGTTATAGGGGGGTCGACTGTATGTTGTATAAAAAGTTTTGTAACATTACAAATTTTTACAAACTACTAGTTATAAGAAATTTTGGTTGCATAAGATTACTTATAATCAGTTACAAGCTACAAGTACTTTTACAAACTATAAGTTCAAAAAAATCTATTGCACAAAATTTATTGTAACAACTTACAAGTAACACTTGAACACAATAAAAATTTGTTGCAAAAAAAAAAAGTATTAGTTTGTCTAGTTACAAGAGCGGCACCACTAATTTTAAGAATGGAAGTAAATTTCCATCCTTAAAACTAGAAACAATCTATGTTAACTTTATGGAAATAAGTTTTTTATATCCATGGATATAGTTGCAAAGGATGGCATTTCCAACACTAATGCTCTACTAACTTTTTATTCTTTGCTGGCCGTCACTGCACACTCAACTTTAAAAGCAAACAGTGTAAAAAAAAAGAATGTCACAAGTTGTTGACCATTGGGTGAAACACTAAAACAGATTCAAATACTAGACTGTACAAAAAGCTGCAAGGTAAAGAATAAAATTCAATACCTGTTTTTGTTCAGCCTTTTCTTTTATGCTCAATAAAGAGCATAGTCATGTGCAAATTACCACAGATTTGCATATGACTTGTAAGAAGCTGCCTTACCAATATGGTAGCTCCTTGCACAATAATATGTTGCTAGTGATAAGAGAAGTATCCAAGGCAGTGCTTATGGTGATCAGTATCCCTTGACACTGAAGCACAGGTTCTCAAACTTATTTCAACCACGCCCACTTTGAGATTAAAAAAAAATCTAGTGCCCCCATATTTTTTAACTTACCTTTTTACATTACCATCTGTTGCACATCTTAAAAACAGTTATTGCAAATATAATGTTTAAACATGCATTATTATAGGCCTATGGATAAGAGAGATAGGATGTGATCCACATCCTATTTCTGAGATCAAAGAATGTTTCAATGAGAAGAAATAAAACTCATATTTAATCACTGAACCTTCTACTACCCCCCTGAAAGCCTCCAGTGCCCACAAGGAGGCATTATCACCCACTTTGAGAAAGGATGCACTAAAGCAATCAATTTTGTTACTTTAAAAAGTAACTATAACAACACATTGCATAACTGCAATTAGATAGGATTAGGCAACTAAAGTAATTGTAAGGTAATTGAATAGCACTCTCTGAAAAAGACAAGGAGACAGGTGTTTTGGTTCATCAAATCTGACTTGAGCAGCATGCACATTCTTAATATTCTAGATACATCACTGCTAGTGATTGTGAACTACTGGATTTTTACAGTAGTTACCAACTTATGCTAAGTCTACTCAAGCCATCCATTGTGTAGGTGGCCTACACTCAGAAATTTTGGCAATATCTGTGTATGACATAATTTCAGTAACCTGTTCTGACATTTGAGAATTTGCACCTAGTATAAAATTAACATAATATAAATCACCTGTAATTTAGGATTGTCTGTTTCCAACCAAACAATAAGTCTGGAGGTGATTCTGGAAATTGATAAATACTTAAAAAAAAAAAAAAAGACTATTTTCTCTAAAAGATCCATATATACTCCTTACAGGAGTATGGAGTATATATGGATTGACAGTGACAAAAGAAGTCAAGTTTGACTTCTGTTTGAAGTTATCTAATGCTTTGTGTTTAAAACTCAACAAAAGAAGTCTTGTTAAAATTTGCCAAATTGAATAAGTGGCTAATGCTAAGCATTCAGTAAACTTACCCATAACATTAAAAAAATAATACTTTTAAATATTTAAATACTTCATTCCAGTATCATTTATCACTTTTTCTCAATTTACCAGCTTTTTTTTAAAGACCACTGCTTTTGTTTTAGATGTATGAGTGCTATTTTTTAAATAAGGTTCATTTTTTAATAAAAAGAAAAATACTGTAAATATCATTAAAATATATTTTTTTCCCATATTCTATATACTTTTATCTACTTTTCTACATAATTTCCATTTTTGTTCAAACATTTGTCATACTGCTCAAAAATCTTTTTAATTCCGACTTCAAAGAAGCCTGCTGCCGGAAGACATTAGGCTATGCTGCTTGTCTTGTATGGCACGACGGAGTTTTCTGAGGTCACACAATAAGCATCAGAATTGATTGTTGTGCCTCTTGGCATAAAATCCACTAACAAAGTCCCTTTCCTGTCCCAAAAGACAGTTGTCATGATCTTTCGTGTTGAAATTGAATAACAGATCGTAAATTACAGTCAGTGGGCAACTCAATTTTCTTAAACATTATAAACTTCTACAGTTCAGCACACAGACAGACAATACGGCTGCAAATGGCATCTAAACACGTGCAAAGCATGCTGAAAGCAGATGCTCATGCACACTGCTGCAATCACGTGTCATTCTCACTCTCATTCCTAAACGGACCTTATTTAAAAAATAGCCCTCATATTTACTTGTAATCCCATGTCATTAAAAAACTTATCAGAATATTAATCTTTACTTATAAGAACTATGGTTTCTCAAACATTCCCAGGATGTTTGAGAAACCATAAACATTCTCAAACATTTTTTAACCCGGGAGATATCCCGGGAAATCCTGCAAATTTCTTAAAAATTCACTTTTTTTCTTATTTTGTGTTAAGGTTGAGGAATTTTGCAAATAGAAAGCATAATTAACTCATTCACTGTCAGAATACATTTGTATTTATTAATTTTAAACCTACCTATTAGTTTTTTTTTAATTTTTGCTCGTTATGGCATGTCACAAATGGTCAGTAATCAATATATAGCTTATTTGTGGCAGGGCTATGAAAATTCTTTACTTGTCAGAACCTGTAATATCTGGAATAATTGTGCTTATGCTGTCTTAATTTTAACCATGCCCAGTAGCTTCAATAAATGCGTAATGCCAGGTTGTGCAAATTGCGCAAGGATACAAACGAGTACAAAGTCTGCAAGTATGAAGTTTTTCTTCATAAACCTGATTATTAAAGCCAAACAAATTGCTGAATTATTGAGCTTCGTATAGCATGGATTTGCATAATATGGCACTTTTTCTGAACATAATTACTGTTATGCGAGGGATACCTATACATTTTTTGATCTTTTAGAGAAATTTTTATTGTGGTCAATTGTTTCTCTAAATTTTTAAAATTTCCATAAAAATTGCCTAATGAGATTGAATATTTTTGAAAAAAATATAAATGTTATAGAAAAGGTCAAAATAAAGTATGTATTTCTTGTATTTTTGTCAAAAATTCCTATGCAGCTATATTGAATGATTCTTTTTGTTAATGTTTCATTTTTTGAGAATTAAAAATATTCATAGAAGTTAGTAGATAAGGCACATTGCAAGATATATTTTTATAATTTTTCCTAGAATGGTGAACTTTTCCCTGATTTATGATGTCTTTTGGAAAAGTGCAGTGCTGTTCAGAAATTCAAATTAAGGAGCATCCCATATATATAAACTTACCAATAGTTTTCCATGTAAAATCATTCATACTGAAATCTTTGCAAAAGTAGTTTATTTCTGGCTTGCTTGAACTTTCACAAATGCATATATAAAAAATTATAACCATTTATTGAGAAAGAAAAAAAATAAACTAAAATTTTAAGGAATTAAAATCACTTTGGCTGCCCCAAAATATAAAGGCATTTAACAGAGTTAACCAAAATAATTAATGATAGGTTAATAAATTATATTTAACAATAACCTAATATCCAATGAATAATAGTGCCATCTTCAGGTATTGTTTCTTTGTTTTTTGTTATCCTCTCTGTATTCTCCCTATTCTTTACTGCACCTTATTCTGCTTTTCTCCTCTCCTTACTAAGATGTAACTAAGGCTGCTGGACTGAGTCTGTGTCATGGCAACTACATCAACCAGGTAGTCACTGCTGTCTCTCAGTGAAAGATGTGGCTTTCTTCCTCATGTCTTGGCATGCCTTGTACTTCCACAGTTACTTTGGTGGGTGTTTGCACACCAGCTTATCCTTCTCTCTTCTCTATTTATTAGGCTAGTTTATAATTTCCTCTCACCCATTCTGTGCACCTCTTTTTTCTTGTCTGAGCGTCAGGACTAGTGCCACTTGGTGGATGGTGGGTTATCTCTTCTTGCTTTATTTTTACAGTACTAGTTCTGTCTTAATTGATTTATTATTTTGTTTGTTTTCCTTTAAATAGTTTTTCTTTTGTCTCCTTATTTTAGATTGTTTCCTCTATCTTATTTTTCTTCCCTCTAAATAGATGCCTTCTCTCTGCTGTCCCTTTCTCTATAGTATACAGATAGATATGCCAGGGCCTCTTCTTGCTTCTGGACATACATCAAGTGTGGAGGTTCATGCACTAGAAGCACATCTCCTACAATCCTTCCAGGCTAGCATGGTATGTAATTTATTGGATTTCATATAGAACTCTCCAGGATATCTTGTCCTTATAACTTTTGTACAAACTTGAAGATAGTTGTTTAAAAATGACCAAATATGCTACTTTTATTTAGACATTATAATTTAGTGTTTTAAACTGTTGGATTTTTAGTTTCTGAATAAACCTAAAATATGTCCAGCGAAAAGTTTAATAAACTATAATTTAGACAAATATTTTCAATCTATGAATAAGATCTGCATCAGGTCTCAGTTTTGTTCCAAATTGGAATGGTAGCATAAACATGACGTATTTTGAATACTATCAAATATTACCTCATGGGTTTCTGGCTGCATATTGGCCTGCAATTTGAATAAATTTTAGACCTATAAATTCCTACAATTGTCTGTCCGTCTTTCCTTAATCTCAAGAATGGAGTTACATAGATGAAAGACTAGACCAGACATGGAAATCTTAGGGGCAGGAGGTTCCTGTCGGTACTCTCGACACAAACCAATTTGACCCACTAGAGCAGGGGTCGGCAACCTGCGGCTCTTTGGATGTGAAGCTGCGGCTCTTTAGTTCCATATGCAAATATTATTTATTTTATCAAAAAAAAAAAAAACATTTAAAAATTGTTCTGAATCGATTAACGAGGATTCGGCACCGATTCTATCTCTCAGCCACTTGTACTCGCTTTTCACGTCGTCACTGTCGTCAGTCCGTCGGAAGCTCTCGAATGACGCCGTCGTCGGATGTTTCTATGAGGTTTAATTCGCTTTCGACGCAAGACAATTCTGAATAAATAGATTAGTTCTTTTTATCAAAAAACTTTATTTATGCGATTACTATTTATTGTTGGCAAGAAAAAATTTTGTGGCTCTTTAAAAACTTTGAAATTTTGTAAATTGTAATTTTTGGCTCTTCCGACTCAGAAGGTTGCCGACCCCTGCACTAGAGGGACCTTCCCAATAACCAAAAAATGTTTTATGACCATTTGTCTTCACTTGTTTCTTTGTTCGGACTACTATCTGTCGACACGTACGACATTCGTCCTACTGTTATGTAAAGACTCATTTATACATTAATTTCTTGATTAAACGAGGATACCTTAACCAATACAATGTGTTTCGTCTGAGTGTCTCTCCACTGATTCCGGATTAATGACAGCTCCAATTAACTATATATGAATTACTGATGCAAACCAAAAGTCATGTTATTTCAATTCGAAACTTTCCATGAAAGCTTTTAATAGATGACTAGCATGACTATTGTTAAAGAAAAAGTATGCTGTACAGGGACAAGATATTACAGTACTAATTTGAGGTGAAGAGCATATATTTTAAATTAAATAAATTAAAAATATGATTAAAAATTGTAGCCCAGCATTGTGATGATATCAGAATAAAATAATTGCTTGTACTGTCCATATATTTAAATATATACAAATATATCAAAATAAAAAAAATACAGTGATACCTCAGTTTTTGTCGATAATCCATCCAAAAACAATTGGTGAAATCCGAAACTGACAAAAACTGAGGCAATTATTTCCATATGAATCAATGTAAATCCAATTAATTCATTTTAGACCCTCCAAAATACATACCAAAAACACATTTTATAGAGAATAAAATATAGTGTTTAATACTAAAAACAATAATAAATTAATATAAAATGAATATAAAAGACTAATGTAAAGAATAAATGAATATTTAACATGGCATTTCCCATGATGAAGCTTTATTGAAAGCAATGGAATTGGACGTATTCAAAATTTCAACATCAATCCAGTGAGATGCTGCTGGAAGTGATGCAACTGCTGGTGTTTTCTAGAGAACACAAATGCTGACTGCCAGGAATTTCAGGAAAGAAAAGCAAAAATGGCAAATGATGTGGACTTCTACTTTACGTTAAATTTATTTTTGAACTTATTTAATGATAACAGCATAATGAAAAATTAATATTCCAAAAAGAGAAATAGGGATGAAGATTTTTTAAATTTCCATAGGAGTTTAAATAATTAAATCAATCCTAAGATTACACTTTAACAACTACAAAAATTATGTGATGTCTTATGTAAATATACTAGTAAATTAAAATAGTCTGTTAATGTACAAACCTAAATTCAGTTTAAAAGTTTTTAAAACATCAGTTTTTTGACAGCAATAAGTTCGTTTAATATTAATGATAAAATACATTTAATAACATAAAAACCTAATAAATATAAAATGAAATTAAAAGTAAAGCTATATTCATTTTTACATTTTTGATTCAATTTGTGTATCTATTAATTTTTAATGCTAATTTTATTTACAGTACTTCATTTCATAAAATTTTAATATATATTAAACTTCCATTGCAGGAATAGAAAATGAAAGAAGGAACAGAAATACATCCACATTGCAAAGATTGTATTAAAATCTGGAAATGTACTGTTCAACCCAAGGAAGGTGAAAGCTGTAAAATCATATCATGTGATTTTAATTGTGGAGCAAGATTTCATTTATGCAAAACAGAGGAACATCAACTTTTGTGTTTAAATGAAAAGGTAAATTATTCAAAATATTAAAATGAATGAATGCTTTTATAATTTAGCTGATTTTTTTTTTCATTTTAGACAAAAAGTATTTGTTTATATAATATATATTTAAGCATGTTTGACTTCATAGTTTTGTGAAAATTATTGTTTAATTAAGAAAAAATACTCATATTAAATATTTTGATAACAATTTGATAAGATTTTATATCTTCAATAATTTCAAGCACTTTTAAGATTATGTTTTTTATTTACATCACTAAATAAAATTACTAAAATGAAAAGTATGACTTGATTCAGGTTTGACTTTTCTTTAACAAATTAACATAGATTATTCTTTTCTATTTTGCATTTATGAGTAGAAACTTATTTTTTTTAACCCTTTGGTGAACGCACTCTTCAGGAGCTCACAAGAGGGCGCATTACGGCAATTACACCGCATATGTAATATTACTTGATTTAAGTCAATAATTAATTATTGTTTTGAAAATATGAATCAGATATACCAGAAAATTAATTTTATGACATTTTAATAAACAAATTTGGTTATAAAATATTTAGATAATAAAAAAACATTACTCTATATCCATGTGATGGCACACATGGCACATATTATCACTATATTATTATGCTTTTTGCAAACATTTTTACCCATTCCTGACAAATTGATTTTTTCCTATTGTTTTTGTGTATGCCACAAATAAAACAAAGTTCTAGGTTTTTGCCGCTACTTTGGATGGCTCTTTGTTTTCCTTATATTTTTCCAAAAATATAGACTAATATAAATTTAAAAATTTATAGAAACTTACGACAGTGTTAATTTAATATATTTACTCAATAAACTTGCAAATATTGACCTACTTTATTAAAAAAATTAAACACATAAATATAAAAGTATACTGATATTTTAGTTACATGGCAGGGCGCTTAGCGGCAGTTACAACGCAAATGAGGTACGACTTGATTCAAAGTCCAGTTACAATTAAACGGTTATTATAACTGACCCAATTTCATAAACATGTTGTATCTTGTATTATGAAGAGAGAATACTTTGACATACTTCTGCAATAATTAAGTACAACATCAAACAAAAGATTTTATTTTTATTTTGCGACAGTTTGCCGCAGGCAAAGGGTTAACTTAATAGTTCATTGCCTATCATATATGATAGAATATATAAAATATAGCTGAAAAGTCTTACTTTTAAAGTTCATTTAACTATTTCACTCTATTTAGAAAAAAGGAAAAAAACAGTCATTTCTATTTATTTTATTTTATTTTTACACTTTCTGCCCTATGAGCACTAAGAGGGCCTTTATATCAGGTCTACAATGGGATGCTGAGTGTTGAAGGACTTGGCTGACATACATACATATATACAGTCGACCCCCCCATAACGCGGTAGATACATTCCACTTTATAAGAATTTCGCATTGTAGGAATCCTTAAATACATGAGCCAATCACAGCCCAGTACGTGTGCAGTTTACGGACTATGGCTGTTTGAAAGGTTTTCTTCCATAAAAATAATCGATTCTAGACTAATTTGACTCAACATTTCCAAAACACGTATAATTTTTTGGGAATAATCCATATAAACTATGCTATAAACAAAAAATTGTAGGATTACTTACCGAGTGTGCACCGTTCGACTATGCCATTGCTTAAGCTTGTTTTCATCGCGGAGCAGTGTACCAAATGGCGGGCACATTTTCTGATAAGTTATTTTTCTGCGAAAAATTCATTGAACTTTGGAGACATCATTAATAGAAATAATTTTTATGGCCATTGAGTAAGAAATGTTTTTTTCACAAGAAATGTATAAAATTACAGTACTGTATTAGACTTACAGTACATAATTTATATACTGTACAGACGATAATAAACTCATTTTCGGCTGCTCGTCCACTATTGGTTCAGATTTGACCAATCCTGTCACGACACGAGTCGGCGATGATGTTTTACTGCATTTTATGATTCTCTTTTAGCGTCTTTATATGAATACGGTCTCAATTTTTTCGTTGCGATATATGAATCTGCATTATATGAACCCGCATTATACGGGGGTCTACTGTATGTATAAGGACCTTGAATAAGTTCTCGCTGTTTTCCAACAGATGGTGTTACCAGAACCACGTGTGTTTATTTTTAGATGGTGACGCATCTGTAAGGAAGTACAATAAGCGACGTTGAAATTCAGTATATATCATTTCACTGAAGTGTAAACAACTTATTTTTTCATTGTGTTAAACATGTCTAGTTTCGTGCCAAAAAAAGAATATTTGCGGAGAATTTTATTGCACTATTTTATTCAAAAAAAATCTGCAGCTGAAGCACACAGAATTCTTGTTGAGACTTACAGCGACCATGCTCTGTCGGAAACAACATGCAGAGGTTGGTTTAGACGCTTCAAAAATAATGATTTTGATGTTGAAGATAAAGAATGATCTGGTGCACCAAAAAAGTTTGAAGACAAGGAATTAGAGGCATTACTTCATGAAGACTCATGTCAGACGCTAGCTGAACTTGCAGAATCATTAAGAGTTGATCACACAACAGTTTCAAAACATTTAAAAGGATTAGGAATGATTCAAAAGCAAGGACATTGGCTGTCGTACGAGTTGAAGCCGAGAGATGTCGAACGGCGTCTTTTCACATGTGAACAGCTGCTTCAACGGCAGAAAAGGAAAGGTTTTCTGCATCGTATCGTGACAGGTGACGAAAAATGGATACACTACGATAACCCTAAGCGTAGAAAATCGTGGGGTAAGCCCGGCCATGCATCAAC